GGTACTGACAATTTGAGTACGTGACTTTCAAAACTCCCAATTTAAACCTTTAACTATGCAATTTTTGGCAGATTTAGTCCTCCGGACCAAATTGCCGGCCAATTTTGGCCGGAAAAAGATTTAATGCTTCGAATTAATTTCTGATGAGGGTAAAATTGTCATTTCACTCCCTTCTTCTTCATTCTCCCTTTCTTCTTCGTTCTTCTTCTTCTTCGCTCACCGGTTCTATCCCTTTGTCATGTCCCTAAAATCAGACATGTTCAACAACCTCGTGCCCCGCCTGGTTGCATACATAATCTCCTGCTGAAACACTGCATCACCATCATTGAGTAGATGGTGAATGAGCATCAAACACTTGAGGGCCACGATCCAGTCCCGGGTTTTGCCCAGCCTCCTGGACACCACCGACACACAGGCACTCACATACCCCCTGGAAAACGAAGTCAAGCGGAGAATCTCTCTGATATATTTCTCAGACGCTGGATCATCATTGTGGCTAGTGGCCTTCACAACCGCAACTTCCAGCTCCGGAGCCATGTTGCTAGCCACCTTGGCGAGCCCAATGCTCGTCTGGTCCTTCACTGTTCCAATCGCCTTCCGAATTGTGCTTGGCGCCATTGGATCGGAAAGATTTCTTCTCCTCTTTCTTCTACTTCTGCAAAACCACCACCAGATTTCAAACCACACCACCTTCAAACTAGAAATCACTTCACACACTAACAAATTCAAAGTCAAAGGGGAAAAAATAACGAAAAAAATTCCAAACCGAAAATAAATCCGAATTCAGTTGGACTGATGTTGCTACACATCCATCAAAATGTTTACTACATTTAAAATCCACCGACAATGTTTTACCAGCAATATTGTTGTTCAACCATATTACTTATCCCCAAAAAAAGTCCACCGACATTTAAAAAATGCAAAGATATAATTGAAACAGAGTAAATTACAGAAATCCCAACCAGGAAACAAAGCCAATATTTTACGGCAATATCGTAAGAGCTCTCCACACACACATACATATCAAAGCTAAAGCATTAGATTTTGGCACGGCTCAGAGCTCTTACAAAATCGTTGAAATGTAGACAGATCTTAAGCAAGGACTACATGGTCGAAACAACGCCGGATCACGAAGAGAAAAGAGAGAGATCTGAACTGAACAGAGAGTTGACCACTAAAGCATTGCCGACAACGCTGTTTCCTTCTCCTTTTTCCGGCCGCCGGTGGGCGAAGAAGAAGAAGAACGAAGAAGAAAGGGAGAATGAAGAAGAAGGGAGTGAAATGACAATTTTACCCTCATCAGAAATTAATTCGAAGTATTAAATCTTTTTCCGGTCAAAATTGGCCGGATGATCAAATCTGCCAAAAATTGCATAGTTAAAGGTTTAAATTGGAAGTTTTGAAAGTCACGTACTCAAATTGTCAGTACCCTAATACTTACAGGACCAAAAGTGCAATTTGTTCTTTTTAGAACCAAGTGGAGCTTCCATCCTTTGACTACTAAAGACATTACATTCCATGGACAAGTCAACAACGTTGTGTCGGAAAAATTAATGTAATTCTGATCTAGACTTTAAGATAAAGAATTCATACATTATTGAAATCTCAGACAACAATTTGACAACTTCAACCTGCATTTTCATCGTTTCCTCTCAGTTTTCATCTTATTTAAACAATCTTTCGATCCGCCAATCCTTCAACGACGACTAACCATGGGAACAGAAACTATGGCGACGAGGAGGAGCGTTGTGATGTTTCCATGGCTGGCGTACGGCCACATCACACCCTTCGTCGGACTGGCCAAGAATCTTGCAGACAGAGGTTTCTTGGTCCATTTATGTTCCACTCCTGACAACCTTAATTCCATCAAAAACAACATTCCTCAATCCTATTCCCAATCCATTCGATTACTGGAACTCCATCTTCCAGAATCGCCGGATCTTCCTCCTCACTACCAGACCACCAATGGCCTCCCGCTCCACCTCCACGACGCCCTCAAGAAGGTCCTGAAAATGGCGGAACCTGATTTCACCGAACTCTTGAAAACCTTGAACCCGGATTTGCTAATCCACGATGTCGTAAATTTATGGGCGGAAAAGGTTGCCTTGTCGCTTAATATCCCTTCCGTCCGGTTCTTCACCGCCAGCGCCGCCATGTGCTCTTACTTCACTCACATGTTGACTAATCCCGGCGCCGAGTATCCCTTCCCGGCTCTCCGGCTCCGGCAATACGAACAAACGAAAACTCGCGAGCTCATGAATCAGGAGACCCGCAACTTCAAGCGGGAGGAAACCCTAGATACGCCGGCTAATCAAGCAATGATGTTGGTGAACAGCTCGAGAGAAGTGGAAGGAAAGTACATAGATTACTTGTCGGAGCTTATGAAGTCCAAGGTAGTGTCTATCGGAACAACATTCCAGGCTCCTCCTCCGGTGGATCATGAAACAGAGCTCACGGATTGGCTGGCGAGAAAACCGGCGAGTTCCACGGTGTTCGTTTCGTTCGGGAGCGAATATTTTCTGAGGAAGGAAGATTTGGAGGAGATAGCGTACGGATTGGAGATTAGCGGAGTGAATTTCATATGGGTTCTCAGATTCCCAAAGGGAGAAGAAATCTCAGTAGAAGAAGCTCTCCCGAAAGGCTTTCTGGAAAGAATTGGGGAGAGAGGGAGAATGGTGGAGGGGTGGGCCCCGCAGGCGAAGATTCTGGGCCACCGGAGCACCGGCGGGTTTGTGAGCCATTGCGGTTGGAATTCGATAATGGAAAGCTTGAATCTGGGGGTTCCGATCATCGCGATGCCGATGCATTTGGATCAGCCGATGAATGCGCGGCTGATGGTGGAGATTGGGGCGGCGGTGGAGGTCGAGAGAGACGAGAAGGGTAAGCTTCACCGGGAGGAAATGGCGGCGGCTCTGAGAGAGACGGTGGGTGGGGAGAACGGAGAGAAACTGAAGAGGAATGTGAAGAGAATAAGTGAGAATTTGAGATTGGCAGGAAACAGAGAGATGGATGCAGTGGTGGCGGAGTTGGAAAAGCTTTGCAACAAACCAGAAAGGATTGCATTTGCATATGAAGAAAATTAATTTCAAACTTCTTTTTAAAGAATATTTTACACATTTTGTTAAGTTATAATACTATGATGTTTAATTTTATGATTTTTTTGAGTTATTATTAGAGCAACCTTAACAGGAATGTTTTTGCTCCCGTAATATTTTTGAAGAATATTTCAAAAAAAAAAAATGTCACATTACAATTAGTGTATTCATCATAATATGTATGGAGGGTCACAACAAGGAAGTATATCACAATATTTTATTTTTTTTTGAATGCTACTAGCTCTATTACATTGTAGTATCTGTTCATATACTTTAACACCTCCGCACTGAGGCTCGAACTCATAACCTTCCAAATGGAAGTCCAACCCGGATACCATTAGACCACATAGTCCTGGTATATCACAATATTTGGTGTACCCATCATACTCTAAAAAACGAAGCATTAATTGGATGCAAATACATATGAGATATCTCTCTCTAAACAATAGCCATATATAGTAAAAATGATCACTCTTCTAATTTGAATCATGCGATAAATTGAAACAATTTTAATTTCATAAAAACAACTACTCGCAGATAATAATCATCTATTATATAAATATAAGAATGTATGAATATATATATATATATTATAATAATAATAATAATAATAATTAGCTTTTGGAGAGCTGAATACATTTTTCATTTGCGTATTATTTGGAACCTATCAAAAAGTAATAAGCCAGCATGCATAAGAGCCCACCAACTAAGGGTGTGTTTGGTTTATGAGTTTACACACTAGCAATAGGAATCAAAATCATAGTTAGTGTTTGGTTGTCAACATTCTAAAACACAACTAAGAGATTTGATTATCCATTCAATTAAAAACCTCACGCGGGTGGTGGTGCGATTAGGGTGGGAGGAGGAAGCCAATGGGCACTGTGCAATTGGGAGAAATACGATTGAATTCTTTTTTTTTTTTTTTTTTTTTTTTAAATTTAGGCTTATATGACAATCTAAATACAAAGCAAAGCTCATGTGGCGAGCCAGGTGTGCAGTTACCGAAACTTACAAGCTAGGTAACCGGCTAATGGGCTTCACTGCTTTAAAATTGTAAGTTAATATGTTCAATTGCACTTTTTAAAAGTTCGTTGACCTAATTGACTTTTTGTGAAAAGTTTAGGAGTCTATTTGATATTTTTCTTTAATTTATTTTTTTCATGCTATACTATATCTCATCGAACTAACGGCTTTTAGTAACTTAACACGTTTTCACTTTTCAGATACCACAAAATGTTGACTCCAAAATCTCAATTGCTTCGTCAATTTTCATCTTCTTTTTTTTTTTTTTTTTTTTTTTTTTTTTTTTTTTTTTTTTGTTAAGAAAAATGCTAGATGTCCATATAAAAATCATTTAATTTGTCCCCAGGTATTAGCATAATGGTTTGTCGCTAGACTTGATATCATGATTGAAAGTGACACTGTGTGGTTCGAATTCCAGTGACTCATGATGATGGAAGTTGTAGATTGGATATCTTCTTAGCGCATCAAAGCGGTGGGCATATTTGCGCGACTCGTGATTTACCTTTACAGTGATTATAGAGACGGAGTCATGTGACTTTAAGATTAGTCCAATAAAATTAAAATCACCCAAGTATAAAAAAAAAAATATCATTTAATATGACAAAAATTAAATGACTTTTTATAACCCATTATGCACATAAGATCAAACCCCTTCTCTATGGCTAAAAATAATCTTAGATGAATTTTTTTTTTCTTCTCTTAAATACTGTTAACTAAACCAATGAATTAAGTTTGTACGGGCAGGGCTAAAAAGTATTTTTCTTTCTAAAAGGTGAAAACAAAATATACGAATATCAGTTAAGAAAAACAAATAAAAGAAACAAGAATATATTGAAATATCAAGCTCACGAATGGACAGAAATAAGCTTACCGAGCTTTCGCGTACCAAGTACAATGAATTCAAATTAACTTTCGATTGTAAAGACAGCGACTTTTTCTCGTGGGAGTCGTGGGTTGTTGCCATTTTACGCCCGCCATTGAGGTTGCGGCCTACACTCACACGCAACTATAAAATCTCCATTGCAGCCGCGATTGAAATTCAATCTTTAAATCATCACATTATCAGGTAAATTTTCTGTGAATTTCTTGCCTTTGTTGCTGTCTGGATATTTATCGTTTTCTTTTATGGCTTTGACATATGAAAATCGTTTACAGTGGTTAGGTGTTTGGAGGGAGTGGATAACGTTATTTTGGATTTCTTTTTTTTTTTTTTTTAATGTTATTGTGGGTAAATCTCTGAGAAAACAAAAAGATAAAATTGATTGATGCAAACATACCTGTTTAATATGATTATGGAATTTGGGTAATTTCGATCTCAATTTACGTACTTTTTTAATTTTTAGTATGTTTTGTTCCAAATAACATAGATCTGCTAGTTTGGGTCCTGTAATTCTGTCTGTCCTGATCAAATAACATTTGATTTTACGTAACTATACACGACAATTATCTTAATTCAATAAATTTCTTGCATTTCTACTTGGTTTCAATTGTGTTTCTTTCACAGATTCCAGTATTATTCCCTTTTGTTTCATGTGGGCAATTGATATTGAAGTGGAAGTGAGAGCCTCATTGTGAAGTATATAAATTGTTTGTTTTCGTCGAAAAAAGGACCAATGAATACTTCAGAGGCAGTTCTACGGGTTCTGGGCAGCGGTGTGCCTGGCCTATTCGGGTCTGATCAATGTTTTAGGGCATCAGGCCAAGGACATCCTTCTGGTTCCTTGCTAAACTTGAGAAATAAAAGAGGCTTAAAATATATGAAAATGCTCAAATGTTCGAACCATTTATACCTTAACATAAACAGTCGGTCATTTATGGGGGGTTGTCGGAGAGATTTGCATGGATTTGGTACCGGCCCTCTAAGGCGGATGTGCTACAACTGCCAAAAAGCGGATAGTGTAAGCGGGATTGCAGCAGAAAATGGGAATGGAGCATTGTTTGTAGATAATACTAAGGGATTTGACACGGCTCGTGAGGATTTTGTGTCCAATGGAAGCTTACAAACGAATGGAACAATTCGGGACACTAGCAACGGGAAGATTAGTAGCCCGTTTGTGGATGAGGCATGGGAACTATTGAAGGAGTCGGTTGTTTACTATTGTGGCAACCCCGTAGGAACAATTGCTGCAAAGGACCCAACTGCTTCTGATGTTAGTGTTCTGAACTACGATCAAGTCTTTATCCGTGACTTTATACCTTCTGGCATAGCTTTTCTGTTGAAGGGAGAGTACGATATTGTTCGGAACTTCATCCTTCATACGCTTCAGCTTCAGGTAAACATTTGCAGCTTCTGATTATCCGGGCAAGTATTTATCTATATTCATCTGCTTTCCTAGAAATTGTTACACTTGTAACTTTCCCCAATCAATATCTACACGGTCTATTTCTAGTTTTCAACCCCATGAATTCCATCAACTTGCTTTTTGTCAAAGGGGGTGTTTGGTAAATAGTTGTTAGCTGATTGGATTAGTGGGTTTGGCTAGTTGATAACATTAGCTGATTGTAGAAAGATGTTTAGTAAATTAGCTGTTAGCTGATAGCTGATTACATGCAAAATGACTTTCTCAAAAAACTTATTGAAAAAGCTGCTTTGAGTAGCTTTTTGAATTTTAGCGTTTTGGAGCAATAAGCTGATATACAAAACTAATTAATTAGAACTTATATTGGTTGTTTAACCAAGTCAAACAGCTAATAGTGGTCAAATAAGCTAACTATGTTACCAAGCAGGGCCAAAGTCTATGAGTTGTTCTAGTTGCTTAATGCAGCATTGAGATAAGATTTGCTAAAGACAGTTATCTGAAACCATGATTGGTTTATCATTGTACTATGAAGTCATTTTTAAGGTTACCTCAAGGCCTAAAATGGTTGACGATCTTTCTAAATGGGAATTCGTAGTCTTCCATTTGCTTTGTAGTTTTGAACTGTGAAACTTAAGCTACAACATTCTGCTATACCGGGGTTCTTGATCTTATCCTGAAATACCATAAGAAATTTTAGAATGAGTATTTCATTCATATTGAATATGTTTCTTCGACTACAATCACATGTTATATGCAACGAATAAAATGCAGAATGACTAGTGTACCGTGTAAATTTTTGACAGAGCTGGGAGAAAACAATGGATTGTCACAGTCCCGGTCAGGGGTTAATGCCCGCCAGTTTCAAAGTCCGTACAATTCCTATGGATGGTGATGACTCTGCAACGGAAGAGGTGCTGGATCCCGACTTTGGAGAGGCCGCAATTGGCCGTGTCGCACCAGTTGATTCCGGTAATGAAAGTTTCCACTTTCCAGTGGAAAGAGATGCAATGTTACGTTTTGAAACTTTGATAAACGTGACGACAAGAGACTATTTTATGTTGTTATAAACATAACTTCAATTATCTTAATGTCGATTGCAGGACTATGGTGGATTATTTTGTTACGTGCGTATGGAAAATGTTCGGGTGATCTCTCGCTTCAGGAGAGAGTGGATGTTCAGACTGGAATTAAGATGATACTCAGGCTATGTCTTGCTGATGGATTTGATATGTTCCCGACATTGTTGGTCACCGATGGTTCGTGCATGATAGATCGGCGTATGGGAATTCATGGTCACCCGTTAGAGATTCAGGTACGAGTCAATTGAGCCCGTTACAAAAGCAGAATAATAAACTATAAGATTGGGCTAGGGTTACTCAATTGGACTATAATGCACATGGACTGAACCACACTAAAAGATTGAATCCAATCAATTAGCTAGTCTAACCCATGGCCTTATAAACCTATATACAGTGTTGCAAAAATCGGGCCTGAGTGCCGATTAATCGGCGCCTAGGCGCTAGGCGGTCGGCCACCTAGGCGCCGATTAATCACTCTAGGTGCCCTAGGCGGTCTAGGCGCCTAGCGATTTTTTCAACCTTGCCTATATATTCTCTCTTATTTTATCAATGTGGAACTCTTAACAGGCGGTATAACATTTGCTATTCATGGGGACGGGGTGTGGTTGATTTGTTCGGGATTGAGTAGCATAATGCAGCGTTCTATTCTATTTGCAGGCGCTTTTCTATTCTGCATTACTCGGTGCACGAGAAATGCTCACACCCGAGGATAGTTCAGCTGAACTTATTCGAGCATTGAACAATCGTCTTGTTGCTTTATCGTTCCATATAAGGGAATATTATTGGACCGATATGAAAAAACTAAATGAGATATACCGTTACAATACAGAAGAGTACTCGTACGATGCTGTTAACAAGTTCAACATCTACCCTGATCAGATTCCCCATTGGCTGGTTGAGTGGATGCCGAATAAAGGAGGTTATCTAATTGGAAACTTGCAACCTGCTCACATGGATTTCCGGTTCTTTTCTCTCGGGAACTTGTGGTCTATAGTCAGCAGTCTTGCCACGGCCGATCAGTCACATGCCATATTAGATCTCGTCGAAACCAAATGGGCTGATTTGGTAGCAGGCATGCCGGTCAAAATATGTTACCCTGCTCTTGAAGGTCAGGAGTGGCAGATCATCACAGGGTGTGATCCCAAGAACACGTAAGTATATACTTCAATATTACTTCTTAATTGTTTTTTACTGTCTTATTACCATCGAATTAACCTTTCCCGTCTTATTATCGTATAATGCTTCTGTTGCAAGGCCTTGGTCTTACCACAATGGAGGTTCTTGGCCAACTTTGCTCTGGCAGGTTAGCCGTCACTTCCAATTTTGCCATTTGTTTAAATTTTTCTTAAGAAATGTCTATTATTCATTGTAGACATCTTATAAACTAAGATTGGGCTAGGGTCACTCAATTGGGCTATAATAATCTGAACAAGCGGGCTCATGAAAGCTTGGACGTCACCAATACCCATAACCTGGTGATACCATGTTATAAACTAAGATTGGGCTAGGATCACTCAATTGGGCTATAATGCATATGAGTCAAACCACATTAAAGATTGAATCCAACCAATTAGCTAGTCTAACCCATAGCCTTATAAACTCATATTTTCTCTCTTATTTTATCAATGTGAGAACTGAGAAGTGATTTATAGTTTTACAACCTAAAGATGATTACAACAGCTGACGTTGCAATAATTTCACTTTGCGTTTTGCAGCTTACGGTGGCTTGCATTAAGATGAATCGGCCAGACATTGCAGCAAGAGCTGTTGAAGTTGCCGAGAAACGCTTAGCGCAAGACAACTGGCCCGAATACTACGACACCAAAAGTGCGAGGTTCATTGGAAAACAGGCTCGCCAATTCCAAACTTGGTCAATTGCCGGATACCTCGTTTCAAAACAACTGCTTTCCGACCCCAGTTTAGCCAAGATTCTGATTACCGAAGAGGACTCCGAGCTTGTCAACGCTTTCTCTTGTGCCATCAGTTCAAACCCCAGGAAGAAAAAACGAGGCCCAAAAAGTTCCCAGAAGACCTACATCGTATAAGTTCTGAGCCGTATGATTCACACAGTTTTCGTCAATCAACAGTTCATCTATGACTGCTGTATTGCACATTTGTACAGTTCGGGTTTGCGGGATTTAAGAGTAGAGACGATATAATCTTCTGCTGGAAAGTATTTGATAATACTCAGCTCTAGTATATAGTAGCTTCTTTAAGTGGAACTATAGTGTTCTTGCCATTTATAAAGGACATAAGATCCACTACTGTTTTATCTTGTATTCTCTTAGAGCTCTTATTGTGATATATGTATTTGAGTTTGGGACTTTGGGTATATAAGTGATTACACCGGTGAATATTCTACTCAAGAATATATTTAAGAACTTATATATATACAGATTCTAAATTAATTTTATGTACCTAAGACAACAAATTCTTTTAATTACTTTCATAATCGGTGAGTTGACAATTGAAATTACAAAACTACTAATTTAATAAATTTGGGACAATTGAAATTTCAAAACTACTAATTTAATAAATTTGAGACAATTGTTAAGCTGTGAGTTGAATTCAGATTAATTTTACAGCCTGGTAGCAATACCATATATATGCAAAATAAATAAATAAATAAAATAAAAAATCAAAACTACCATATTGTTTTTATAATTAATAATAGAGTGATTACTCTTTGTTTGAGGCAATAGGATGAATTAGGTTTGATGTAAAGTTATGCCACCCTGTTATTTATTTATTTTTTATTTTCTTTTTATTGTCTTCTTCCTCGTAGAATTATATGCTTAACTTTAATTATGTTTCCTTTTTTATTTTTTATTTTTTCATTTCAGCATATGCTTAATTCATTGGATTTATGTTTCCCAAAGCCAATGGATTTTGATTACTGAATTTAATTTGTCATTTGTAACTCTTTCTAATGATATTTAATTCTTGTTAAAAATGGATACTATTGAAGTGCGTGTTGCCTGGATTTTTTGTTTTTGTGTTGTTGCCTTGTATGGGGAAACACAAAAACAGTATCTTTAGTTACGGATGCTCCTCAATTAATTGTTATTAATATCTGTTTTTATTAGAATAAATTGTGTTAAGTTGTACTCAAAAAATAAAAAAAATGTGTAAAGTTAAGAGACTGCTTAAATCCGAGGCCATAACCAAATATACTAACACAAAATGCCAGGTTGTGATCTGATCTCGTGCTTCACACATCACACCATATTCCCCAGCCTACTGGACCTTGTTCCAGGCCACCCACTAAAGGCACACAACAATTTTATTTTATATATTTTTTTCAGTTATGAGAAAACTCGCAGCTATTATTTGAGAGTGTGCACTAAGAATTATTTACTATTATATAATAGTCTGTAAATAATACAGAAGAAAGTAAACTGCCTAAAAAAACCATATATGTGAGCCTGATTAAAATGATTTTGACAATAATCGAATTCATATTGTATTAATATTCAATATATAATAATTTTTTTCGTGCATATTGTATTGGTATTTGCATTTTAATAAATGCGACTAGTCTAATTGATGTTCGGTCCAATCTTTGTTACGGTATATATACACATACATATTTCTGCATAATTTTATTATGGAATGAATATAGAAAAATTTTACTGAATTGAAAAATTTAGAGTCATTACTTGAAAAATGTGCTCTAGGTGAAGAATACCTTGTGACCTTAACCAGTAAAGGACTACAAATAAATAAGGCTAATAAACAATTCTTATAGAGAGTACGTTAAACTTGAAACTTTATAATTATCAAGTCAACTATTCAACTAACTTGGTTGAGATTGTCCCTAGACGATTATTTAAATACCATCACTACATGTGCAAATAAATGTGCAGTTGTGATTTTGCAATGCAAATAGATATAAATGGTTGATTTTTGGTTCTCATATTTGCCTTCAAGTACATGGAATGATACCTTTTGACATAACAGTAAGCGTTTGATCCTAACAAGTAACAAATACTCACCAACTGTACTTCAATTTTGAACTGAAAAAAGAAAAAGAAATATTATCAATTAGTGGTGGTGAAGACCTCTTGTGTACACAAGTATACCATCGGCGGGGGAACCTAAAATCATTTAGACAACTTGAGATTTACTTACCTCCCTCGTGAGCCTTAAGACGGGTTCATGGAGTTTAAGATATAATTTGGTAAAGTTGGGAAAGATGAGTTATTAAAAAGAAAAATGTTATAGTGGGTACTTGGCCCTAATGAACAATACATGGTACCAACTTAATAGAATTAAGAATAAATATGGTATCAGATTGATTCAGATGGGAGTTGGTATGTAGCTTAAGGTAGATACTACATAAGTGTCATTCCCCGTACGGTCCATTCATAATAAAATGGTCAACCCTATATGATAACAATGTTCAGTCTGTAATTAGAATAATCTGACTTGTTAAACCACATCTTTAGCCCTAAATCATTTTTGTATTGCAAGCTGTAGCATAAACAACTAATACAACCATTCCCATGCCATTTCTAAATCTATATTCCTTACACACCAACCCTAACTTTTGAAACTTTACAATCCACTATTAGAAACTTTTTTATTTTTATGGCATTTTAAAATTACCGGATAATTGATTTGATAATTACAAGGTTCCAAGTTCGACTCCCTATTAGAGCTGCTTATTATTAATCTTACTAGTTTGAATCGATCAGTTATAAGCAATCTAGGCGGACCTTTTATCGCCAGCTATAATTCAATTCGGTTCGTAAGTGGATCCTTTTATCGTTTGCTTGTTGATTTAAGTGGTTGAGCTTGGAAAATTTGACTGTGGGACAGAGGGTGTCCCGAGCTGCCAATGGTTATGTAGAAATTGCCTCAAAAGTCCTCATCTCCAGCATTAGATGTGGTATTTATAGGGAAAAAGAAGACACATGCCGGACTCTCGACATGCCTGACACGTGTCGTGCATGGAGTCAGTGAGCTCGGTGGCGGTGTAGTGACGCCCACATGTCACGATGTTCTTGACTTGCCACTACGCCGATATGGTCGGATCGAGATCAATAATCTAGGTTTATTCTCAAGTGAACTTGGTCGGATAGGCCGCCCCTAGGTCGTGATGGATCCTTCTAGGTGGGGCGAAAACTACTGCTAGTTAAGCATTTGCTCGGTCTTCACCCTTAGATCGGGTCGGCCATGATCAGTAATAGTTCCTCATAGTAACTTGATCACTTGGTATCGAGCAAATATGCACTATGTATCGGTAGGTATACCTAGGAAAATATTCTCTATCAACATTAATAGTTAACTTACCAACTAGTACCCCTATTAAGTTATGCTAAGAATTTTTTTTATTATTATTTTTTTAATGAAGCAGATCCACTTTTGCTTCCTCATCCTATATATAAATACATGCAGTATAATGCATGGTGAGAGAAAAGAGAGTGCCAGACCACCTGAAATGGATTCCAAGAAGCTTCAAGCTATGGCGCTTATGAAGCTCTCATGCTTACTCCTTTTCCTTTCTGCCTCGGCCATGGCGGCCAACCAACCACTTCTCAAAGTAGGATTCTATCGCCGTAGTTGCCCCAAAGCCGAAGCCATCGTCAAAAACGTTGTGTCCAAAGCTGTCTCTTCCAATCCCGGCATCGGTGCCGGCCTTATCAGGATGCACTTCCATGATTGTTTCGTCCGGGTATACCTATTTTATCTGTCATGTTTATTATTTCAATTCAAACCACATAGATAATATAGAATGAAACTATATTGGGTATTAGCTAGAGCTGATTGGTATTGATATTGATAGTATATCCAATATACGGAGTAATATAATTATATATGTATAGTTTTGGAGATATAATTATGTATAGTGTTGGGACAACCTAGTGTCCAAAAAGTTGAATTCTCAACCCAAGGATCCGCACACGTCAGAGGGCTAGACCCCTCACTTTGAGAGGTTACAGCTGGTGAGACTGGATCACCTACAGATCATTGTTATCAAACTTCACCCATGTAACCAACTCATAGCTGTCCATGCAGGCAACCATCATCCATGTGACCAACTGAGCTGCCCATGTAGGCAACCCTAGTCAAATTAAGAATTAGTTAGATTATTGACTTGGTAACTACAAATTGGTCCAGCTATGACCAACTTAGTTGTTTTACCTCTATATTCTCCTTTGTCATTAAAGTTACAAGATCGGATTTACTCAATCCACATATTATTTAAATAGTGACAGATAAGTTTTTTCTTGTCATCCAACAAAATTATGTATAGTCTAAAAAGTAAATATATTTGAGGTTTGTGTGTTTTATTAGGGTTGTGATGCATCAGTGCTATTGGACGGATCAGATTCAGAAAAGGAAGCTGTGCCTAACAAGAACAGCTTACGAGGTTTTGAAGTGATTGATGAAGCAAAGTCTAAGCTAGAGGCCGCATGCCCGGGAACCGTGTCGTGCGCCGACGTGGTCGCCTTTGCAGCTCGCGACAGCTCCCGAAAACTGGGGAACATTAACTACGATGTCCCCGCCGGCCGCCGCGACGGCCGCGTCTCGAGCAAGGACGAGGCCGCCGCCAATCTCCCCTCCCCGTTCGCCGCGGTTCAGGAGCTGTTCGTCAAGTTCGCCAACAAAGGAATGTCGCTGGACGAGATGGTGACGCTCTCCGGCGCCCATTCCGTCGGAATCGCTCACTGCGCCGTCTTCGCCAACCGGATTTATCCCCAGAACGGCGGCGAACGCCTGCCGATGGACGGGAAACTGGCGGCGTTTTTGAAATCTATCTGTCCGCCGGAAGCGCTCACCGTCGGGACCGGAGTGGCCAATGAGACGAACCTCGACGTCTTGACGCCGAACCGGCTGGACAACAGGTACTACGCGGCGCTGAAGGGGAAGAAAGGGGTGCTGATATCGGACCAGACGCTGGCGGAGGACCCCAGGACGGCTAAAATGGTGGATTTCAATGCTGGGAACGGCGGCGCGTGGGCTAAGAAGTATGCGGCGGCGATGGTGCACATGGGTAACCTGGATGTGCTCACAGGGAAAATGGGAGAGATCAGAAAGAACTGTCATTTCGTGAATTGAATTCATTGTTTATTGTGCTATGCTATTTTTTGGATTACCAGGAAAATCGACAGTCACTACTCGAATGTATGCAATAGATAATCCCGGAACTAATATCATTGTTTCTTAATTGTTTGTGTTGAATAATGGAAAGTTTGCACTTTGCAGCAGTCTATGAAAGTGTAAAATGCCATGCATATGCATGCATCATATCATTTTTTTTTTAATGTTAATTAATTAAAAAGCTGCTTTCTTTGTTTTTTTTTTTTTTTTTTTTTTTGTTTTTTTTTTATGAATAAAATGCATTATTATTTTGGCTAACAAAATAAAAATAATTTGATTTACCTAGTGGATCTACAGCTGTAAACAATATAATGAAGCCAAATAGAACTTACTTGCATCTGTTGAACTAGTCTTCTATTAATTAATTTGGTTCCTTGTTTATTGATTAAGTTTTAAAATGTGTTTAAGTTGGAATTGTTTATTACTCAACTTTGAGGTTATAAAGTTTCGTCATGAGACTAAGGGAAGATGATAGAAAAGTCACTTTTATTGCCACTTTTGTGAACATAATCCTGGCACCAACATGTGTTATGACCAACTTAAGTTACCAATATCATGTCACTATTTAATTATGATTTAGAGAATTATCAATAAAGATGTTTTTTTTTTTTTTTTTTTTTTTTTTTTTTTGTGAATTTTGAGGAACCAGGAGAGAAAAGGGAGGAAGAAAAAAAAAAGGAAAAGCAAAACAAAAAGTACTCTGACAACCGTTTAAAAAAACAAAAACACAAATAAATTTGTTCAGAGTCGCCCCAGCGGGCGCGAAGTGTGCTTCAAGCGCCGTTTTCGGGATTTTTTTTTTCTCTGCAAAATCTCCATCTTTACAAGAGAAAAAAAAAAATCATTAAAATCTTTTCTTTCCATTTATCTAAAATCTCCAACTATGACTTTTATTGTACCAAAATCCCCTTAAAACAAACAAATGGAGATACCCTTAGTATGTTCTCCATACTTTGACATTATAAATAGAGACAACATCCATCCTAAAAAGATATCTAATTTCTTATATATACTTAGGGTGTGTTTGGTTCGCACATGGGAATCGGAATCGGAATGGGTATCAAATACTTGGTAATAGTAATGAGTTTTGGTGAAAGTATTTAACATGTTTGGTAGTAGGGTGGAATGAGAATGGTTACTAATAGTAGTGCTTGAGAATGAATAAGGGAATGAAACCCTTATTTTATTTGGGTATGAGTTTTTCAATTGATGGGGTATTCGAAACCCATAGTAGTGTTCTAAAAACCTATTAACCAAACAATAGCAATCACTTTCATACCCATTCCTATGGGCAAAACACATCAACCAAACACACCCTTAGTATATTTTCCAAACACTATTAAGGCTCCTGAGCTTCTTTACTTTGTGTTTAGCTTATAATAAGGACTTCTCATTATCAATACAATAATCTTTGTTCTGTTGCCTTTCTTGTTTGGATTGTATTATATTCTCAATTTCATATAAGGGTACTGGTGTTTAAAAAATAGCTTATCAGCTAAAATTTAGGGTGTGTTTGGTCAGGGCCGGCCCTGGGGCAAGGGCAGGCTGGGCCCTTGCTCAGGGCCCAGCTTGGGGGAGGGCCCCATCCTATCTCTTATATATATAGTATATATGCATTGAGTGTAAGTAATTTATATACATATGTTTTACAATATAGTAAATTAGTTTGGTTGGTAAGATATTTGAATTTTAACCTCATTTAATCAAAGGCCGGTGATCCAAACCTTCCCTTCACATTTTAGAATTCCTCAACTTTACTTCTTTGCTTATATTCTAATGTATCTTTTAAAAAATTATTTTTATTGATTTTTTGTGTTTAATACGGAGTAGTATTTTTCATGTAGTTTTTAAATATATAAATTTTCATATATTTATACTAAACATATTATGAAAATTTTTTTATATTAAATATATAAATTTTTATATTAAAATTTTAATGCAGTTTCTAAATTTATAAATTTTTATATACTTATACTAAACATATTATAAAAAAATTGAATTAAAAAAAGTTCAATAAACTCATGTTAATCAAACAAGACACGTAAAAATAGGACGGAGGGGGTTATATGATATATTTTGAGATTGAATTATAAAAAAAAATTAAAAGATAATTTACTCCGTACCTTTTTATGAATATCTAATCAATGTAATATAGAAGCTTCTATCATGTGTCATTGTATTCAAATTATTCTAAAAAACTTGAAATTTTATGTATTTAAAAAAAAAGTATTTATAAAAATCATATAAATAATATAGAAGATGTGTGATTTATATGCTTTATGTTCAAACTATTTTATCTAGATAATTATGTTTCATATCTTTTTACATTTTTTATTGCGTTATGAAATATTTTAATTTCTTGTTCCTAGTCAAAAAAAATTTTTTAGCTTCATATATGTTTGCAATTATTGTTTAGTAAATTTTTAATAATAATTAATTTATTATTTATTATGCTAACAATGTTATTGTTTATAATTACTCAATTTTAAATTATTTATTCATTTTTATAAACTATAATAATTATTTATGTATGAAGGCACTTACGATTATTTATTATTTTACATTAAGAAAAGCACCTAGAATTTTTTTCAATGATTATTATTGTGTATGTAAAATTGTTAAAAACTTGTTAATCTTATTAACAGTTATTGGTATTAATAATTTTTTTTTTTAATACCAAGTGGCTTGTAGTCCATTGGTATCGGGTTGCTCCCCTAAGTGGGAGGTGTAAGGTTTGAACCTCTATTGAGGCAATAGTGTGTATATGTAGGGTATCCCCTTTCTTTATAATAATAAAAAAAAAATTATTTTATTTAAATTTTAGACATGAAATATATATTAATTGGGGGCCCATTTTTTTTGTCCTGCCCCGGGCCTATAAAATGATAGGACCGGCCCTGTGTTTGGTTCGCACATAGGAATCGGAATCGGAATGGGTATCAAATACTTGGTAATGGTAATGGGTTTTGGTGAAAATATTTAACATTGTTTGATAGTAGGGTGGAATGGGAATTGTTACTAATAGTAGTGCTTGAGAATGAATAAGGGAATGAAACTCTTATTGTATTTGGGTATGCGTTTTTCAATTGATGGGGTATTCGAAACCCATAGTAGTGTTCTAAAAACCTATCAACCAAACAACAACAATCACTTTCATACCCATTCCTATGGGCAAAACCCACCAACCAAACACACCCTTAGCTTGTTTGACTAGTTAAAGTCTTAAAGAACTAATATATATGTTTGATAAACAATTTTTTGACTCACTTATTAATTTGATTAACTTAAAATGAAAAAGCTACTTTAATATGATGAGTAGTTTATTAATATATATATATATATATATATATATATATATATATATAAATATAAATATATAAAATTGCGTTAACATCTTATTTTTATTATATTTTTCATTTGTAATTATATTTTAATATTAAATTATTATTAACTACGAAGTATTTCTTTATAATTATAATAGTAAAGTAATAATAAAAAATAATAGTTAAAAAATAATTAATAATAACACAACATAACAATAAATTATAAAAATATTTTAAATATTAAGTAAAATAATACAATATACTTATACACAATCAACTAATACTGTCAATTGATCACACAATCTAACACAATCAACTATCAGCTAGCAACCATTTGATAAATACCACCGTAGTATAGGCATTGTATGTATCAGTTACCATATATTGATGAATCTACTTGTGACTTGCTCAAGATGATAGATAAGTCTAAGCCATTGCTATTTCCTATGTTGACTTGCACCATAGAAGTGGGTAACTAGTTATGAGATAATATGATATGCGTATTGATGTCTTAACTATATACTATTCATAGATCAAATATGAAGTTTGAGGACAGAAAATTAAGTCTTTAAAATCGATAAATAATGACAAAACAAATACTTTTATTGTGCTGAGGACGTGACCCTAACATTAATATGTCGACTTAAGTGATTCTGTTCCGGTATTATAAATAGAAATCACAAAAATCCATACTATAAAATAACTTTAAATTGTTTTCCAAATCCCGTATTTGAACTTGGTTTTTTACAGGCCACATTGCCACAAAGAGGGAAGAGGCTGTGGGCCGGTTCCTCTCAGCTTACCAACTCCCGACCTGCGCGCTACACCTTTCGCAAACTCACCTGGCAGAAGTGCAGAACACATCAACCGATCAATTTTCACATTTTTTGTTGCCCATTATTGGAATCAATCCAAATTCTTGATTGCTTGCGAGCAAACACCAGACTGAAAAGCTTACAGTGCCGCAAATGTCAATGGCGTTACGAAGGCTATTGAGCTCTTCCCCACTTCTGCTTCGTCCTCTCTGCAATGGCAGCTCCTCTCTTCGGTACACGGTTGGTTTCTCTGGCCATCAGCATACAGTCTTTGTTACATGCTAGAATACTAGAAAAGATCAAGTCTTTTCTGAAAACTTATGTATACTTCCCTTTGTAGTAACACTATATGCTTTCTTTCTTGCTTTTACAACGTTAGTCCTCATTGCCCAATCAATCTGTTCGAGGAAAGGAGGACCCACGCGTTACGGTACCATCTAATCTTTGTTTTCATTTTCAAGATTTGTGGTTTTGGGTTTTCCCTTCGTTTCGTCAATATGGTGTTTGTCATTATGTCTCTGTGAACTGGACTGACAGTGGATAAAGCAATTGAATGCCCCTCTCGAACAAATCGATCCAGAGATAGCCGACATCATCGAGCTAGAAAAAGCTCGCCAATGGAAGGTGAGTAGTGTACATGCTGAGCCTGGGGATTGCAAAGCTTATAGTTCAAGTGTTATTGGGATATGACTAGGAAATTTGTGAATTTTAAATTTGGGCCCGTTGGGGTTTTGATGATTTCTGGAATTAGGGGCTGGAGCTTATACCATCTGAGAATTTCACTTCAGTGTCTGTAATGCAAGCTGTTGGATCAGTGATGACCAACAAGTATAGTGAAGGGTACCCTGGGGCTCGATACTATGGAGGAAATGAGTACGTGGACACTCTTCTGCACATTTTTCTACTGCAATTTGCTGGTCATATATTGTGGGATTGTGTCACTTTATCTACCTATCATTGTTGTAAATGTAATTTCATTACTACATATGGGGGATAATGTTTATTGTGTGTGCACCCAGGTATATTGATATGGCAGAGAGGTTGTGTCAGAAGCGTGCTTTAGAAACTTTCCAATTGGATCCTGAGAAATGGGGAGGTAATGATTTGCCCATCATCTTTAGTCATAAACACGTAGTTGTTAAGAGGGATGTGGCTTTAAATGCTTAGAAGTAACAAAGTTGAATTTTTTTCTTTCGGTTATAGAATGACAAGCAAATATTCAACCTTTTCTCAAGCAATGTAAAGTATTTAGTCCAGTCTGTTCAAAAGCCTTTGGTGAACTTTTCTTTGTTAAATTCGGTGTTATGCAAGACTCTTTCATTAGAATTCCAGCCATTATAATGTTTTTAAAGTACTCGAACTTACCTAGTGCAGTCAATGTTCAGTCACTATCAGGATCTCCTGCAAACTTTCAAGTATATACCGCTTTGCTGAAACCACATGAGAGAATCATGGCTCTCGATCTTCCTCATGGCGGACATCTTTCACATGGTTATCAGGTACTACAGTTTCTTCCAATTAAATCTCTACGATGTTTATTACATGGTTCTTTCTTTAAGATCTATTGGCCTCACCATTCTCCATTGTGCAGACGGATACCAAGAAGATTTCTGCTGTCTCAATCTTCTTTGAGACAATGCCATACAGATTGGATGAGAGTACAGGATACATTGACTATGACCAGGTATCTCATTAGTGACATCGATGAAAATTTTCTAGTTGCTTTAGCTATTCTATTTTGTATATGTTACTGTCTAGCTTATTGCTTATTTCTATAGTTTCCTTATGGTTTTTGTTGTTGTTGTTGTTGTGTGTGTGTGTGTGTTTTTTTTAAAAAAAATTTAAATAAAAAAGAAACAGAATACTGTGCATACACCCATTTCTTTACCCTGGTAATGGTTACATTTTTTTAATAGTGGATATGGGAATCATGTCCTGCCCTTGTATACATACAAACACACCCATGTCTCTATCCCTTGCAAATACTCCTCGAGACAGAATAGCATGTACAGTTGGAATTTTGTGATTCTAATTTGTATGGTTTTATCATGGTTCTAAATTCTCTCATCTATATACGTGTAACTTATCTCTGCTCCAAAGGATTTGGTTATGGATTGTGAGTTGCAACTCCAGAGCATGCATCACCCAATGTAGCATCTAATCATACGATATGATTATGCTGCTTTGATAGTCACATCATAAAGCTATTATACCCTGTCTTGACTGGCAGAAAATAAATAAAGGAATACGCGCACAGTGCACAGCACACACATATATATTCAATTATTTGTTTTTGTTGGGTATTGGTGTATTGCTGTGATCGTGTCTCGGTAGGTTGTGAGAGGTTAACAATGCTTCTATTGTTTTTTTCATTTCTACAAATTTGTCATGTTCATGTAAGGTTGAACTCTGTTATGCAGCTTGAGAAAAGTGCAACACTCTTTAGACCAAAATTAATTGTTGCTGGTGCAAGTGCTTATGCACGTCTGTATGATTATGCACATATTCGCAAGGTAACTTGAAAACCATTGTTGTCTCATTGTTTAACATATGAACCACTTACTATTTAGATATTTCAGCACAATAAAGTATTTTTATATATGGAATCTTTGACAGGTATGTGATAAGCAAAAAGCTGTAATGTTGGCGGACATGGCACACATTAGTGGCTTGGTTGCTGCAGGGGTCATTCCCTCGCCCTTTGAGTATGCAGATGTTGTTACAACCACAACACACAAGTCACTTCGTGGGCCACGTGGGGCAATGATCTTTTTCAGGAAGGGACTGAAGGAGATTAACAAACAAGGAAAAGAAGTATGTTATAACTTATAACTTATAACCTTAATGAACAAATAAATACAGACAGATTTGGATACACGTCTTTTATTTCAATTCTTGAAGACAATTTTGTTGCTTTCCTTTGTTTTTTTGGGTCATTGGATAACTGTCTTGGTAAAATAACAGTTTCATTTGTATACTACAGGTTATGTATGACTATGAAGACAAAATTAATCAAGCTGTTTTTCCTGGACTTCAAGGTGGCCCCCACAATCACACAATTACAGCCTTAGCAGTTGCTCTGAAACAAGTAATATTTTGTCACCTTTTTAAAAATAATAGTTTTGTCATTTTCCATTGTTATTGGTATATGGGATAACAGTCATTGTTTATTATTATTTTGACTGTCTCTTGTGTAGGCTACGACACCAGAATACAAGGCTTATCAGGAGCAAGTTCTCAGTAATTGCTCAAAGTTTGCCAAGGTAATAGTTATATTCATACTTCATTTCTTATTTTCTTCTGTAGTGTGATTTTTGTTGTCATTTCTTGACGATGTTTGTGATGAAAGTGGTCTTTCTTGCTGGCAGAGTTTGTTAGAGAGAGGCTATGACCTTGTTTCTGGTGGGACTGACAATCATCTGGTCCTGGTAAATTTAAGAAATAAGGTAGCTAACCAATATTTAACTCGTTCCCTCTCCTCCTTTTGGTTTGATAGGTTGTTGTTTTTCACACCTTAAAGGCTTAAAGTGTATAGTTAGTTCATTTATTTTTTTTTTCAATTGGGAATCCTTTGTGGCTTAGTAGAGTTCATCATTGGAGCTTTTACAAACAATCTAGCAACTTGGTCTAAGAGGAGCTCTAAACGGTCTTGTTCAATTTGTTGTGGAAGCAAGTTAAAAGGGATTGTGATTGAAGATGTTTCTCTCATTGCTTCATGTGGGGGTAGTTGACTCCTAAATAACCTATTACTCAATAAATTCACTAGTTTTGTAGACTATATAAGTTCTAAAGGCGGTGACATCTGAGACTGAAGTGGATATCAATTTTGTTTCTAAGCATGCGACTGCATTGTGACTTTTTCTTGCAGGGTATTGATGGCTCCCGAGTTGAAAAGGTTTTAGAGTCGGTGCATATAGCAGCTAATAAGAATACAGTTCCCGGAGATGTGTCTGCCATGGTGCCTGGTGGCATTCGTATGGGTAAAGCACTTCTCTTCTGACCATCTTCTTCACAAAATGCTTCCCTCGACTCTTGCCTGTTCAAATGCAGAAATGCTGAGTCGTGAAGTTTTCCTTGCTCTTCAACCCATCACTTTGCTTAAATTACTCTTTTGAATTGCATAGCTATTTTTAGTAACTTCGACTAACCTGACAATCCAGGAACCCCGGCTCTCACGTCTAGAGGATTTGTTGAGGAGGATTTTGTTAAAGTGGCCGAGTTCTTTGATGCTGCTGTAATGTTGGCACTTGAGATAAAAGCCAAGGCACAAGGTTTAATAAATTCATTCATGTTGACATCTATGGCTTGTATTACCCATCAACAATTGTTCCAAGTTATCGAGCATTTTTGAGATTATTCTAGTTATATGCTAACAAGTACTCGGTTTCCCCAGGAACAAAGTTGAAGGACTTCGTGACAGCTATGAACTCCAGTTCCAGCACACAATCTGAGATTGCAAAGCTCCGATCCGAGGTCGAGGATTATGCAAAACAATTTCCCACAATTGGGTTTGAGAAGGAAACCATGAAATACAAACACTGAACTTTTCAGAAGATAGGTAGTCCTCTTACTTGACACCTCTGAAAGTGTTAGACTTCAACTATTTCACCTGTTTATAGAATTACCAGCGAACCAGCTTGGTTGGCGTGAGTGGCTGTGCACTCTCATCCGTTAAGAGAGGTCGGGAGTTTGAAAATCAATCTGACCAACACTTTGCCCCTTAATTGGCTTAAAAGGTGCCTTTTACAGTTAGAGTTTGCTCAGGACACCTCGTGGTTTGACCAAAAAAAATAAAAAATTACTGGTGCTCTTTCTTTATGGTTCCACCCCCAACACCCTCCCCCACTTAGAGTGGACTGGATGAAATTGAGGAGTTTGAATCTTGAACAAAAATTGACAAAACTAGTTTGAGAAGTGCTCCCATTTCTTTCCATTTTAGCCAAAAACCCTTTGTCAGGAATGTGATTGAGCATCATTAGTAGGCTACATTTACTTCATTATCTTTAGTTTTTCGTTTTAATTTTTCATTTTATATTTTATGTTTTCTAAATTGAAGATATATATTACTGTGTCTGGTACTTACATGGTTTATTATGCTGTGTATATAGAGGATGCAATCTCACTCCCAATTCAAATGACAAGATTTGAATCCCAATTGTTCATGAAATCAAGAGTGCTGTGGTGCAATGAAGATCAACACTAAAAATGATTCTAGAAAATGTGTATAAAATATTTGTCTTCCCTAAAATCCTATGCTTTTTTACCAAAACATAGAAAATCTCTATTCATTTAATTTTACCTTAGTACATCATTGCCTTTTATTTGTTATTATTATTAGTAGTTTGCTTTTATTTTTCAAAAGGAATATTATGAAAAAAATATAGAATAAAAAAAAGCTAAAAGAATATAGATTAAAAAAAAAAAGACAGTAAATATTAAAATTGATTCATTTTGAGATAATGACTACAAGTGGAATTTGCTCTTAAGTAAATTATATGAAATTATGAAAATTTTCAACTGAAGGTATGGGATAATTCATACCCACCAATAACCAAAATGTTAATTGAGCTTAATATATTTCTTTATTTATCCAACAGAGTTGGGTTGTCTTCTTCTTCTTCTTCTTCTTCTTCTTCTTTTTTTTTTTTTTTTTTTTTTTTTTTTTTAAATTTAAGTTAAATCTTATCTTAAAATTATTTAAATTTTAAACAAATAATAGCCAAATGGCTTAATAAATGAATTTTGATTAAAGTTGTTAAAATTAAAAAAAGAAATTAGAATACATATTTTAATTTTTGATGCAACATCCATATTTATCACTGTGAGATTTTTTATGATCACTCATCCATGTGTCATTTCAATCATTGTGAGAATGGTAACAGACATGTCATCACACTACATAGTAGTTGGTTAGAGATTAATATAGATTCAACCAAAACTTATATTGTGGATCATGGTCTACATAGCAAGATAAACCCTTAATACAAATTTTTTTTTTTTATAATATAAAAATGAATATGTTGTACACAAAAATGGATTTGTATTAAAATATAATAAAAATGAATATGTAGTGTATTAAAAATGAGTATATAGTATGTTAAAAATGAACATGTGTCAAAATTCTCAATGTATAATTTGATATGTATTACGCACGCCAAGAACCATGACGCAATTTTCAAAGAAAAATACAATTTTTTTTAATACACTAGGTTTGCCAATCACGAACTGCCTAAGCGTTTATTACCTTACCGCTAGAGTACTGACTAAGTTACTTTAGATCAGATAATCTACCACTTAAGCTAATTTCGCGAGACAAGAAAAGTATATAGGGAGTATATTTTTTTCTTTTTTAAAACCATACGGAGTATTTTAATTTCATTAGAGGTAAAAGAATAAAAACGTTTTTTTTTTCCTAAATAATAAAATAGAATTCGTGTAGTTTTACTGGTCAGACATTTTGGAACAACAATAGCGCAGGAGCCAGGAAGGAAAAAAAACCATCTATTCTGCATAGCGTTCATCATTTCATCGTTGCTCTGAGCAGATCTGTTGCCTCCTTCGGGTTCTTCATTGCCGCCGAGCACCGCCGTAGCACTGTACCAACTACCAACCCAGCTCCCCCTCTCTCTATTCATGTATATACGTATATCTTGGATGTTGTTGAAGTGAAATTGATGTTAATAATGCTTCGTAGATCACGAGCAATTTTGTGATTTGGGGCGCGAATTAATTTGGCTTTTACTATGCTGAAACATATGCTCTTTAAGATCCGAATGCAGTGCTGATATTAGCGCAATATACATACAGTGTAGTGTTTTCAGTACTTTTTTTGGGGGGAAGTAGGTTGTAATGCTGCCTCTGCAATTTGGTGAGGAAGGTTTAAGCATTTTAGTTGCCCCTCGTACGGGCAATAAGGTCTATAAATTGTTAGCTTTAAATTTATTGTGGATTGATTTCTCTGAAATAATCATAATTTCCTGATTGCTTTTGCTTATAGTAGCTTGAATTGAAGGGCTACAAATTGATTTGATTTCAGTCCTTCTCTCTCCTCGAAATTCCAGGGAAGGAACAAAAATGGGGGTAGATGATGAGCAGTTGGACGACAAGGCAAAGAGAATGAGAGATTTGCTGTCAAGTTTCTATTCTCTAGACCCTTCTTCTTCCGGACCTCCCAATGCTTCTTCCAGATTTGCCACGCTAGATACCATTAACACCTCCTCCTTTGATGCTGATCAGTACATGAATCTTCTGGTAGGTCCTCAATTTCGAGCTTCAGAGTTGGACATTTTTTTTTTAAAGATAATTTAACTTTAGCAACTTTACCGAAGGTAGTATTGTTATTTTAGAATGCAAAGAGAACTCATTGATATCAAATTTTTTCTCCAGATTCTTGCAATGATTTCAACTTTAAAACCTTGACTTTGCACTTTTATTTAGGTCCAAAAGTCTAATTTGGAGGGATTGCTACAGAGGCATGTTGAAATGGCTGCTGAGATAAAAAATTTAGATACTGACTTGCAAATGTTAGTATATGAGAATTACAACAAGTTCATAAGTGCAACAGATACAATTAAAAGGTAAAACTAACAAACTACATTGTTAGTACTGGCATTTTTTACTTGTGTGAAACTGCAAATGCCATCAATTTTGATGTTTGCCAACAGCGAACACATTGATGGTATTTTATTTATTGATTTATTTATTTTTGTTACAGAATGAATAATAACATTGTGGGCATGGAAACAAATATGGAACAACTTCTTGAAAAGGTCATTTATAGATATTTCTTCTGTTAGTATAAATTGGCAATCTCAACTATAGCACGGTATTTTTAAAAATTAAGAGAAGTTGCATAAAAGGATCAATCATTTCCTTTCAAATTTTTTCAGATAATGTCTGTGCAATCTAGAAGTGATGGGGTTAATACTTCTCTGTTTGAAAAGAGAGAGCATATAGAGAAATTGCACCGGACACGGAATTTTCTTCGTAAAGTTCAGGTATTATCTTGACTGTAAACATTTCTAATTCCCTTTTCTGTTGAATATTGTGATGTTTATTATACTGGATCAGTTTTAGGCTACACTACTTAGAGTCATCATTGCCTTACAAGGAGGATAAATGGAACAACTGACTTAGAGACCTCATTGCCCTTAGAAGTTACAAGGAGGATAAATGTAACAACTTCTGTCTTAGATTCCTTTGGCTGGTCTAGTGTTAGTCTTTATGTTCAAACAAAGTGCAAATGTTATCAACTTTCCTGCCAATCGAAGCCAAAAATTTACTTCAGGCAGGCATTATCTTAAGAAAATTTAAATCATTTAGATTAGTGATCACTCCTGTCAAAGTTCATGGGTATGATTTCATCTTATGCCTTGTGCAATGTGTAAATTTTCATTTTTGGGCATGCATGAGTTACACCATTATTTCATTTTTGTGGAAAAGAGCAGTTCATATATGACCTGCCCTCTAGACTAGCAAAGTGTATCAAAGCAGAAGCCTATGCTGATGCAGTGAAATACTATACTGGAGCCATGCCAATTTTTAAGGTTAGTTATTGTTTTGGAATACTCCAGTCTATCATACTAGTGATATTACATCTACCTGTGCATGAAATTCTTAATTCTCTCTAGTCATCTCTCACTATCTATTGACATCTTCTTCTTTATCATTAGGCATATGGGGATTCATCATTCCAGGACTGTAAGCGAGCATCAGAAGAAGCAGTGGCTGTCATTGTGAAAAACTTGCAGGCACTTCCTTTTCTGCTCGTGCTTCTTGTTGGAATCCTGTTTTTTTATTTTTTATTTTTTGCACTTTATCTTTTCTGTATATTTCCTGTCCTCACAGTTGTAATTCTTGTTGTTCTTATGCATGTTCAATCATATATAAAGTCAAGGACCATTAAAGATGCATGATAGGATTAAATTTCCAAAACAAAAAGTAGATGCATCTAGTTTTGCTGTTTATAGATGAAGAGAATTTCATAAATCTAATGAGTTATGAAATTGCCTTCTGTAAAATGAAGGATAATAATATTTTCCAACAAATTATTTTCTTCAAATTTGAAATCATTTATTTCACCTTTAGTTGGCATGTTTCCGTGAGTATTGCTTACATGTCATAGTGTGTTTAGTATAGCGAAACAAGATCATTCAGCACGTCTCAGTTTTTAGTCCTGAAGAAGCACTAGATATGGATTCCTGCATAAGGCGTGTAAAATCTAAGTAGATACTTTAAACGTAATAGAATATTGTAAGTTCTTGAGAGTGAACATGTTTTTGTCATTATCCCTCCTTTTGTAACTTTCTTTGTCCCATTTGGGGTAGAGGATCTGACTTGCTCCTTTTTTAATAGGAAATTCCCATGGCTTACTAGGTGAGTTCTTAATATATGCATTGCTTTCAGGGAAAGGTATTCTCAGATTCTGAATCCATACAAGCAAGGGCTGAGGCTGTGATGCTCCTTAAGCAGTTAAATTACCCGGTATGTATTTCTCCATGGTAAAGCAAAATACGATGCAATAAATATTGCTTAGTGTTCACCACTGTTGTAGTAAAAATGTTATTTGCAGTGCTATACTCTCAATGAAAATGTTATTTGCACTTTTGCTGTGCTATATTGTATCAATAAAAAATTTATTTTCAGTGCATAAAGAGGTGTTTAACAGAATCATGCCCTTCTAATATGTGTCATTTTAATGAATTTATAGAATGTGCCTAAAAGGAGTACCTCTTGTATAATATAGAAACGAATATTATGCTTATGTTAATCATAACATGACTCCTGATATTGCTAATTGCTAGGCATTAATAGGGACTTACTGTAAGTTCAAGCACATGAAGATCAATACAAACATAATCGCATATAATGTCTTAGACTAGATATTTCTGTTGTTAATGAAATATGTTTTTTTTTTTTCTTCTCTCCATATGCAGCTCCTCTATATATGCATGCTGAGAAAGCTCTTTACTCTTTAAACTTTCTGTCTGTCTGTCTGACATCAATGTTTTAGTTATTTATTATCAGGTCGAGAATTTAAAGGTGCAACTATATGAAAAGTTAGAACAGTTCCTTGTGGACCTCAACCTTGAATCCAAGGAATTAATGCATGGCTCTTTGAATCTTGATATGCCCCCTGATCATGTAGATCTTTCTGATTCAACTTCTGTTGATCAGGTAAGTTAAAGAGATAGCTTTATGTGTTTGAAAGTCTCTCACACCTTTGCTACCACTGGATTATATTATTTAAAAGGGTGCATGCATGAACATTAATTCAAATAATATCTGATTAGATATATGTGGTGTGGTGATGTTTGTTC